ACATTCGGCACATACTTTCAGTCATAAAAGTGGAAACCCAACTGATACCTACCCTAGTGAATTTTAAGAGCTGACTGAAAATATCCAAAGAAAAAGCTCTAAATGTTCAACTGTATTGCATGTTGTCTTGCCAGTGGGTTTCAACCCTGGACAAGTTCACTATGGATTCAATGTGACCAAAGAAATGACAATCAAACATTCTTTAGATGGTGGCAGGTCAGTCACTAGAGTCCTGTCTACTCAGAGCGAGTCTGCATGCAGCAAGCCGGTCTCTGCCTCTGCGCCTCTCTATCTGCAGCAGCTATCTCAGTCTCTGTCCTAAGTGCTGCCACCACTCCAGCCTCTGCTCTGCTCTCCTGCCACCTTGCAGCTGTGCCACCATGTCACTCAGAGCACTGGATGGAGCTCTTTATACAGAGTCAATAATAATGTATTGCCTACATATGTGTAGTGAGCTAGCGGACTAGGGCCAGGTGAGAATTCTGGCCACAGGAACCTTCGCTTTATCCACACATGGAGATGCAGAAAGGCAGGAGGGGCATGCCAGGGCCCCACCAAGGCAGAAGGAAGGAAAAGGAGTCTCTTTCCTTATTAATTCTGAGCTAGGAAAAGTCAGCACAATAGAACCAATGAATGCCTCTAGACATCTGCCTCCCACTCCACCTTGTCCTTAAAGTCATGACCCCAAACCAACTGCTCCTGGGAAGCTGTGCCCCTGACCCCTCCCAGAATCACAATACATTTTCTTTAATCGTGTGGACTGTTCTACTAAAGAAAACTTAGATACTTCTTAGGCAGTATCTTTCACCAGGATACTTAAAAAAATGGGTGGTGCCCACACCCCCCAAAGATCTTCATATCCTAATCTTCACAACCTGTGAATATTTTACCTAGGTGGTAAAAGGGACTTTGCAGATGTTACTAAGTTAAAGATCTTGATAGGGGCTGATGATTCTGGATTATCCATTTGGGTCCAATGTAATTACAAGGGGGACCATAAGGGAAACAGGGCAGCAGACACCCAGAGAAGAGAAAGAGGACCAGAGGCAGAGAAGGAGATGCAGCCACAGCAGCAGAGGTCAGAGAGAGAGACTTCAAGATGCCACACTGCTGGCTTTGAAAGTGGAGCAGGAGCCCATGAACCACGGAATGCAGACAGCCTCTAGAAGCTAGAAAAAACAAGGAAATGGATGTTTGTGTAGAGCCCCTAGCAGGATGTAGATACATGTCAGAACTCTGGCCTCCTGAACTGTAAGAAAATAAACTGGTGCTGCTTTAAGTAACTAATTTGGTAATATTTTATTACAATAGCAATAGGAAACTAATGCAAATGCATGGCTATTTCAGGGACTCTGAGGTAAACAGACCTGGTGCCTAACAAGAAAACCCAGTGCCCCTCAGAAGTTATAGGAAGGAGACCGAGACCCTCACCTTTAATTATGAAAGAAACACTGTTTTAAAGGGATAAGGGCCTCTTTTTCTTCAGGTGCCTCTATTATTTCTCAGAAACGGGTAGAAAACAATTTTAAGGGACACAGGAATTATTAATAGCCACTTCCTGCTGACTGCGTTGAACAGATATGCTTCACCTTAAGTCACCACTCTTTCCATTTATGCCTGACCAAGTGTCCACTGGGTTTTTAAAGCTTTTGACTGAAGCATGACCCCAGCAGAGTGCTTCTGTTTATGCTTGTTTTCCCCTCTTTAAGGGGAAGACTGTCTGTTGTCAAGAACAGAGTTACTTCCCATAAGCTAAAGAGAACACGATTTTATCATACCATAGAGAAATAAAGGGCCTTTTGTCTCCTCAGAGAGACCTCAAATAGCCTTTGTGAAGAATGTTAAGGAATTCCTGTACATTTATCTTTCTTCCTTCCCCTAAAAAAGCAGCCAGATTAATGGCTTGGTTTGGGTGCTTCTGATTCTGACACCAGCCTTTCTATCCTGCTGCCTCCATGGCTAGACCTGTCCGAGAGACCCAGGACACCGATCTCATTCTTTCACTTCCACCACCGGACACTTACTGCATCAAACTCCCCTGCCTGGCCTAGAGACTGCTTCATAAACAGCCCCCCTAGGGCAACCCAATCACCTACTACAGAGAGTCCCTTACTTACAGAACTGTGGTTCAGCCAACAGGCAACTCAAATGTCATTTTCTCACAAAAACAGTATTCTACAAGGTGCAGAGATGCCAAAACCAGCCTGCAAGAAGCAAATTAATATAATGTATCAATAGTACTCATGTAATATCCTCAACATATCACCCCTGCTCCCCCAAAGATCTTCATATCCTAATCTTCACAACCTGTGAATATTTTACCTAGGTGGTAAAAGGGACTTTGCAGATGTTACTAAGTTAAAGATCTTGATAGGGGCTGATGATTCTGGATTATCCATTTGGGTCCAATGTAATTACAAGGGGGACCATAAGGGAAACAGGGCAGCAGACACCCAGAGAAGAGAAAGAGGACCAGAGGCAGAGAAGGAGATGCAGCCACAGCAGCAGAGGTCAGAGAGAGAGACTTCAAGATGCCACACTGCTGGCTTTGAAAGTGGAGCAGGAGCCCATGAACCACGGAATGCAGACAGCCTCTAGAAGCTAGAAAAAACAAGGAAATGGATGTTTGTGTAGAGCCCCTAGCAGGATGTAGATACATGTCAGAACTCTGGCCTCCTGAACTGTAAGAAAATAAACTGGTGCTGCTTTAAGTAACTAATTTGGTAATATTTTATTACAATAGCAATAGGAAACTAATGCAAATGCATGGCTATTTCAGGGACTCTGAGGTAAACAGACCTGGTGCCTAACAAGAAAACCCAGTGCCCCTCAGAAGTTATAGGAAGGAGACCGAGACCCTCACCTTTAATTATGAAAGAAACACTGTTTTAAAGGGATAAGGGCCTCTTTTTCTTCAGGTGCCTCTATTATTTCTCAGAAACGGGTAGAAAACAATTTTAAGGGACACAGGAATTATTAATAGCCACTTCCTGCTGACTGCGTTGAACAGATATGCTTCACCTTAAGTCACCACTCTTTCCATTTATGCCTGACCAAGTGTCCACTGGGTTTTTAAAGCTTTTGACTGAAGCATGACCCCAGCAGAGTGCTTCTGTTTATGCTTGTTTTCCCCTCTTTAAGGGGAAGACTGTCTGTTGTCAAGAACAGAGTTACTTCCCATAAGCTAAAGAGAACACGATTTTATCATACCATAGAGAAATAAAGGGCCTTTTGTCTCCTCAGAGAGACCTCAAATAGCCTTTGTGAAGAATGTTAAGGAATTCCTGTACATTTATCTTTCTTCCTTCCCCTAAAAAAGCAGCCAGATTAATGGCTTGGTTTGGGTGCTTCTGATTCTGACACCAGCCTTTCTATCCTGCTGCCTCCATGGCTAGACCTGTCCGAGAGACCCAGGACACCGATCTCATTCTTTCACTTCCACCACCGGACACTTACTGCATCAAACTCCCCTGCCTGGCCTAGAGACTGCTTCATAAACAGCCCCCCTAGGACAACCCAATCACCTACTACAGAGAGTCCCTTACTTACAGAACTGTGGTTCAGCCAACAGGCAACTCAAATGTCATTTTCTCACAAAAACAGTATTCTACAAGGTGCAGAGATGCCAAAACCAGCCTGCAAGAAGCAAATTAATATAATGTATCAATAGTACTCATGTAATATCCTCAACATATCACCCCTGCCTCCCTTGGTGAGTAAATGCCAACTTGGGTGGCTCAGTGTATTTCTTACTTACTAGGATTGCTGCTTGGAGGCTGGGGTATTAGATTAAAAGCAATGTTGTGAATAAATCCTAAATTTTCTAACTAAAAAGGTTAACTGCAAAGCATGTATTCCTCACTCCTGGTCAATGCCATCTAGGTGGTTGTCTTGCCAATGGGTTTCAGCCCTGGACAAGTTCACTATGGATTCAATGAGACCAGAGAAATGGCAGTAAAATGTTCTTGGGTGAAAGGGTTATACCCAACTTTATTCCCATGGTGGCAGGTCAATCACTAAAATCCCATTCACCCAGAGCAAGTCTGCATTCAGCAACCCAGTCTCTGCCTCTGGGCCTCTCTGCCCACCTCAGCCATCTCAGTCTCTGTCCTCGGGGCTGCTACCACTCCAGTCTCACCTCTGCTCTCCTGCAGCCATGCGGCCGTGCCACCGTGTCACCCAGAGCACTGGGTGGAGCTCTTTATAGAGTCAATAATGACATATTGCCCACCCATACGTAGTGAGCTAACTGACCAGGGCCAAGTGAGAATCTGGCTGTGGGAACCTTCACTTTACCCACAGCAGTCATAATCCTCGTGGTAGCAGTGAGGTGAAAAACTGAATGTGACCTGAGTTCAGGTGGGATAAGGCAGGGACCTTTCCTAGGCAAAGATAACTTGATATCTCACCAAAATGCATAAGTAGAAACAATTTTCTATAACTTTTTGGCTGCATAAAAGAAGGTACCATTTAAATCTATTCATTTACTGTGTAATTAATAAATAAAGAACTGTGGATGTGAACTTGCCCCACCCTCTGTCAGGGAGCATGCGGGGTTGTTCTTACACAGAGGAGTTGGTAACTAGTACTAAGTGGCCCCCCTCTCTGGGGAGTGTTTGCTCTCCTTGAGGCTCTTTCCCCAGGTTCCATCCTTCCTTGCCTTTTGGTCAGGATCTCTTATTCTCCTAAGTCACAGAATATTGATTATAAAGCTGCCAGGAAGTCCCTCTTTTCTACATGTCAGATTCTCTGCACCCTCTAAAGCCCGCTTGGTCCTCCCCCAAGCATTCCATCTCCTCTGTAGTTGTGGTGGACAATATTCTATCAACCCACCACTCTTTCTTTATGGGAACAGCATTCTCCTCCTTTTGGAAAGCTCCTTATTTCCCCCCCTCCTGCCTCTTACCACGCTGTTATCAGCGAGAACTAATAATATCCCAAATCCACGAACACAGTAAATGACACTTGGTTCAGCTGGAAACAGAATACTTCCACACGCTCCTCATCACAGTCACTAGCTTACTGCCAGTCTCTTCCCTAAGAATTGTGAGCTGGACCTGCTGTGATGAACCTTCTCCTTCCTGGTCACAAGCTATGCAGCTAAGCCCCTTCTATTTGCCAGAGACAAGCTGGAGAAAGTCGGTCGACTTCATAGAGAACGTCATCCTGCAGCAGGCAGAAGAGAACTGAGAAGCAGTGAGAGGAGAAAAGCTAAGTAAGATTCACTCCTGGGGCCAACTTTACTCTGACCTTTCTAGCAGTTTAACTCATGAAATTCTTTTCCTTATGCTAATTAGGGTCGAGTGTTCGGCACTTGCAAACAAGAGTCCTGGCATCCACCAGGCCATTCCCTGAGACCTGCTAATTTTCTATATGGCGTGGACCACCAGTTACCTCTGGTATATGTGCGATCGCCCTGCAGGTTAGTGCCTTCTTCTACATAGGCTTTGTTCTCTGACTGGCTTGTGCGACTTGAGAGCAGGTAGCTTCACTTGAAGTTAGCAAAAATGTTTATTGTTATCTCGGGAGGAAGCTCAGGAAACACGTGGTGGTTGATTAATGGAGGAACTTCCTGAAAGGATGTGTTACATGTCTATCAGACATTATCAGGTATTATGAGCTCGTTGGGGACACGCAAAAAGAACACAAGAGTCAGAGTCAAGCGAAGCCTCTTCCTCTCTCTTTGTGGCATTGCTTTATTTACTTCACTTTTCTGACCTCCAGTTCCCTCTTTATAGTTTAGGTAGTGATAATAATGTATTGGTCATGACATTTGGGGTTTCCAGGCACAGAAATCTCAGTTAATTTAGATTAAGCAGAAAAGGACTTTTTAGTCTCATCTAATTCAAAGAGAAGCAAAGTAAACAGACCCCTAAGTAGAGCTGGATATGAGTAAATAAATAGTATCAATCCTTTCATCTCTTGGTTCTAATTCCCCATGTTATTCTTAGGAAGGGGTCCCCAACGGACAAAAGCCACAGATGTCACTCACCAGAAAATCTGTTCTTGCCTTCTTACGTGTGACTGCAAGGATCATATATCTCTAAAAATACTTTGTGTGCAAAAATAACCAGCTAAATCTTAGTAATTATTTTTAAATGCCCAATCAGAAATGGTGCTGGCTGCCGTCTGAAGCATCTTTTAGTACTCTGATTAAGATACCGGAATCACACATACTGTAACAAAAATCCTGGGAACAGATTTACAGTAATCAGGATTTTAAACTCCCATTACAACCTGGATGCACAGCCCTTTGCATTTAAAAACATGCCTGTCAGTGCCTGAATGTGGTACCCTTCACAAGAGCACATAAGTGAGGGTCTTGCTGATCCCAGTTCAGTAACCGAAGGGCATCAAGATAAAGCTCATTGGATGCTGGCACACAGACAACCAGAAGGAAGGAGGGACAAGGATGGTGTTTGCTTTCCAGACCACAGTATTGAAGGATCACACACTTTTCTCCATCCCGGGACAGTGAGAAGAGCGAAACAGCAAACACAAGGTGATGCGCAGCAGCGACCCTCCTCCTCATAGACAAGAGCATGAGGTCTGTGGTATTTCTCTCACCAACAGGTAGAGCACCCCTCGATTTAGATACAAAAATTGTGACCTTGCAATTTTTAAAGGAGAACCTTGAACTTGATACAACTTCTGTCTTTGTTCTTCCATGCCATGAAATCTTTGATAACTACCTAGTCATAATTAAAGGATGCCATTTACAATAACTGAAATAGAATGCTCCCTTGGGGATCGTCTTCTTCTGGCTTATTCTGTCTTCCCCAGTGAAGCACATACACAGTCACTTATTTGTTCTTGTCAGAATGATGGAACTTGAGTCATGTTTAGCCTTTAGGGAAGGGTGAAGGGTTTCATTATCACACCAATTCTGTTTCTTTGAGGAATTTATGATTTGGGGGCTTTTCTGAATATATCTGGTGCTGCTATTCCTGTGCAGGGGCTGATGCCTTGAGAGGGTAGGCAGGGTCTTGAGAAGAATGTGGAATTACCTACTTAGGACAGACAGATCCCCTTGAACTTCATACAGCCTAAGGACAAATAGGTAACAACAGTTACAATTCTCAAGAAAGCCCTTGCTCCTTTCTTCCTCTGAAATGCTGCTGAAATGTTCGTGCCCCTGGGGTCCATTTACCTCCATAACCTTTGTTCAGCACATCCCTTCTTAATAAAAGATTCCTGGAATTCTCAATGTCCTAAATTCCCCCTTCTCAGTGTCCTTGGGAGTCAGAGTCCAGTTGGTTCTTAGAGATTTCCACCTGGCTGGAGAACTGGCTTAAGTTCACTTATGTCATGGTGAAAACACATCCCTTTGTCAATTTGCACCTGAAGAATTCTTACAAGTGTCTATGATAAATAAAATGCTTGTTTTGAAAGTTTAAACACTAGGAAAGGTTGAGGTTTTTCTAGGCCATTACTTATCAAATCCATCTTAGAAATGTGCAATGTTATTAATGGCAATATTGACTATAATCCCTGTCACTCAGCGCACATCTCACCTGTCTTCTTAACTTTGCCCATAACAATAGATTTCAGTATCATGGTCAGTAATAGCGTCATCTCACACAAAGAACAACCATCGCATGTATCTTTGTCGTTCATTTGTTATGCATTTCTATTCCTCCTGTAGTTTTTCTTTCCCTGTCAAATTAATTATAAAGATCTATTTCCACAGATAATTATTTCTAATTATACTCTTCCTCTTTGGAGACATTGGGCAGTAACTCCTGAGACTGGCCAGGAGTGATTATTGCTGGTCTGTAAAGCCTGGGACTCTGAAAGCTTGCCCTTGCTCAGAGTGATCAGCATGCACACGGAGGTGGGCTCAGAGTGAGATGCTTGCTTCTCTCTAAAACAGTGTTTCTCGTCCTTGGTGGACTATTAGGATCACCTTGCAAGCTTAAAAACAAGCCAATCCATAATAACAACCAGAACAATAAAACCCTGCCTCAGTGCCATCCCAGATCAATTAAGTCAGAATCTTGGGGACTGAACCCATGACTCCTGAAAACCACTTCAACAGTCATAGTGCACAGGATGGCATTTTCAAACGCTGGGTTACCCGATGAGAGGAATAAGCAGAGCATATCTGCAAACTCTCAGCATGACAGACTAAAGCAGCAGTTTTCTTCCAGGGGTGCTTTTGTGAATTTGGTAATGTCTTCAGACATTTTTGGTTATCACAAGAGGGGAAAGGATGCTATTGGTATCTAGTGGGCAGAGGGCACAGATGCTAAGCAGCCCACAATAAGCAGGACAGCTTCCTGCAACAAAGAATTATCCAGTCCAAATTGCCAACAGTCCTGAGGCTGAGAAAACCTGCCCTAAAAGAAGGTGGCTGTGTCTTTTTGCTTGGAACCTGTCTCTAAGATGTATGGAACTGAAATTCGGAGCTCTCAGTAGGTCAAAAGAGGGTGAGTGCATTTCTCTTTAGAGCGCTTCCTAAGGGGCACCACTGATTTCATTAAATTATCTTCATATCTGTCTTTGCTCTAAGAGATGTTTATAGTAGTGAAGGCGGGGTGATCCAGATTTCTTTAAATCTATTCTTCAGTTGCCTAATGGGAAATCAGTTTCTTCTCAAACACCAGTGCAAAGACATTGTACCACCATTGGAGGGCTCTCAGACCTGCAGGGGAGTGCAGATTTTAAAACTTTCATATGCCAGGACTTCCGATGCCATCCTTCTTGACAACATTGCCCTGAATAAATATTTCCTTAAAAGAAAGTAGAAAGGAAAATATATCAAATGAATAAGATACTCAGCATCAACAGCTATGTCACATGATTTTATAGCAAAAGAAAACTTACTATCAAACTGTGGTTCAGAGAGGTTGATGTTGTCCCAGGTCTCACTGACAATGGCAGAATTGGGGCTGATACTCATGTTTCTTGGTTATTTATCTGCTACCCATTCCACAAATCTAAGTATTTTTCAAATGTGAGTCATAGCCAAAGATTCATTTCAGTAATGTCAAGGTAAGCCATTTAAGAATCAATGACTCTTTTGGGTTTTTCCTTAAATAAAGCAAAGAATGTCTTCTGTTCACTGAATAGCAGTTATACCTCAAGGTGGAAAGATGGACACATTAGATTCTGACAGTTTGATGTAGCAGATTGTATTTCCCAAAGATGACTGCCACCAAAATATCCCATCCTACATGTCCTTTTTACAATGTGACTGTGACACTGATCCCAAAGAGTGATGAGGCCTATATCCCCTCTCCATGAACCTGGAAAGACTTCAACAGCCTTGCCCAAGAAGCACAATGTAAGTGATGTGTGTGACTTTCAAGTGACTTCATAAAAATGCCAGGCATTTCTGTCTTTTTATTCTAGGACATCCTTTCTTGGAACAGAGCCATCATACTAAGAGAAAGCCAAGCAGCCACGTGAAGGGATCACCTACAGGTGCCCCAGCCAAAAGCCCCAGCTGCTGTCATGATAGACAGCCAACTTCAGCCGTCAGCTATGTGGGTGAGTGAGCCTGCAGATGATTCCAGCCCCAGGCTTTTTCAACTGAGACCATGCAGAATACAAACATGCAGTCCATGCCCCATCCTTCCCAAATTATAGGTTTAAGAGCAAAATAAATGATCATTGATGTTTTAAACCATCTAAGTTTGGGGTACTTCATTACTTAGTAGAAGATGACTACTACACCTGGCATCATTAAGTGTTTGAATTTACAGCTAAACCTCTTCTGATCATACTTGGTTCACAATAGATTTTCAATAGTTATTTATTTAGTAATTGATTGAATCTATCCCATGCTCACAGAGAAGTTCCAGATCTGTTTTGGCAAATATTACAGACACTGTAACAATTTTCAATGAATAACTTGAAATCTTATATTATATATCAGGCTTTGTGAAAAAGTTAAATGTGACTCAGCTCCTCAAACATCAATCTACTGCCTATTGTTGAGCATATTGGACTTCCAAGTCCAAAAGAGCCAAGACTAACTATGGCAAATTCATGACTCTGAAGGGTCCTACCCTTTCAGTCCTTGGCAGTGAAATAATCTCTTCTCTGATATATGACTTCAATAAACTACTTAAATCTCAAATTTCATTATCTCCTTTTCTTCACATAATTTCATAGCTAATGAATTACTGTGTATGGGTGAAGAAGTGAAAAAGTAAGTATCTTTGACGTGTCCTTAAAGGCCATCCTGGGATATAGAGCTATAAACACTATTTTCCAGAGCCTCATTCTGTTTGTGAACCAGCCAAGTCTCTTCAGAATCAGGCACGTTTTTGTCAGAAGAAGCGCCATTCTTTATTTTGGCTGTCCCCCATTAAAGCAGGATATGTGTCATATAAACTCACCAAGGAACTATAGTCCAAGTGTTTTTGATTTATGAATTCTTAGATGTGGTCTACAATGAGTTAATTACTCTTGGGAGCAAACTACAATCTTATAGATGAAAGCAGTACTTAAGATTTATCAGAACTGGTGAAATAACTCACAATAATATAAAATAATTTCTTCTAAGACTGTGGCCTCTCAGTTTAGAAATAACCCCTCTTCTCGGGAAACAGGGATATAAATTGGTGACAGTTTTCTTGAGAAATAAAGTTTCTTGAAGCAAGACTTATTTCAAAAGATAGAAACAGGCTGAATGAAGAATAGCAAGGAAGGAGAAAAAATGTGGGGTGACAGGTCCAACCGGAAGTAAAAGATATTAATCTAAATTAAGATAACCTGACATTGGTGTAAGGATGGGCAAAGAGAGGGCCCCCAAGTAGACTAATTCGTATAAGTAAAATGAGTACATGACAGAGCTAACCCTGTAGATGACTGAGGAAAGGATAAATGTGAATTAGTTATGTGGAGACAATGGATCATTCAAAACAAACCAGCAGAAAAGAAATCAGTTTCTCATCTCATACAATTAATGAATACTCAAAAATTAATTCCAAATAGATTAACTACTTAAAAGTGAAAGGCAAACTGTAAGCTAATAGACAAGAATATAAATGAAAAAGTATATGACCTCTGAGTGGAGAAGGATTTCACAAAAGGATGGAAAATGCATAGAATTTAAGGGAAAAGACTGATAAAATTCAACGATATTAAAAATAACATCTTAAAAATAAAAGCACCAAGATGGGAGGAGATATTTGCAGCAAGTATAAGTGACAGGGCTTCATAGTCAAAAATATATTAAATACCCTTAAGTCAATAAGAAAGAGACAAACAACTTTCTATAAAATGTGCAGAAGATAGCAACAAACATTTCAAGGCAAAGATAACAAAAATGATGAATACAAATAAATAGATGCTAAATTTTATTTGTAATCAAAACATGCAAAAATAAAATCAAAACAATACATCAAGTTGGATTGGCAAAGAGGAAAGTCTGATTATATGAAGTGTTGAGGAGACAGTGGGTCAACAGGAATATGGTACACTGATAGTAGGAATGTCAATGAGGAAATCACTTTGGAAAATTATTTAACATAATCTAGTAAATTTGAACATCTGCTGATCCTGTAGTCCCAGCAATTCTCTTTTTAGAGACAACTTTGGCATACTTTACAAACATGTAAAAATACGCCTAATAGCATTTTTTTATGACAAAAACCATGGGACCAACCTAAATTTGTATGGACTTTAGTATGAATAATAAATATGCATGGAATATTATAAAACAGTGGAAATAAAGAAACTATTGCTATACTTGATATAAAGATATAAATGAATCAATACATAACATTGTATGAAAAGAGACATGGAAAATACAGTCACTATAATTTAATATTCTTTTAAATGCTAACAACAGGTCAAATCCAGGTTGTTTACTGGTCCCACATAAATAGAAAACTATGAAGAAAAACACAAGGATGACTAATGACATTTGGGATTTTAATTATCTCCAGAAGGAGATCATAGGCTCTACCAATCAGGTACAGATACCCAGGGATCTTTAAGGCTATTTTCTTACACTGGATATTTGGTTCACAGTGTTCATTTTATCATTCATCTTTAAATTGTACCTACATATATCTTATCTATGTATGTGGGTCTATGTACTCTTTTCTAAGTGATATATTTCAAAATACAAAAAAACAAAGAAAGTAGATATCATGCTATCTGATGGCAGGTTTCACATCTGAACTTTCTGATATCTTTGCAAACTAGGAAACTGGACGGGGGTGATTAAATGTCATTTCTGAGGGGCATTCAGCATAAACCGCCCTGTGTTAACACATGAGGAGTGTGGTTCCTGTTACTGAGCTATAAATACGTAAGTAAAGGTTATTTTGAGAGGACAACAATACCCAAGACTTGGAATATTTATTTTAAAAAGGATTCCCTTGGCATTTGCCCTCTCAGTGTAACCTTCTTCTAAACATTCCCCAGAGGATAAGCGACCCATCAAAGCCTTTCCCAACATCCTACAAGCTGTCTATCTCAACCTTTCACCTTGCTAGGCATCATGACTCTCCTGGCTTCTCATGGCTGACCTTTAACTTACTGTTTAGTTGTTATTTGTTGCTATTTTTTCATTTCCTTCATTAGACCCGATCAAAACAGAAAGTCAATTTCAATTTTTTATTCAATCACTAAACAAAGACATTCTGAAGCAATGTACATAATTCTGCTTTCAACACATTAAGGGATCAAGTATTACATGAAATCATTGTCTCAGGACCATACTTGATGGGACTGTATAAAACAATCAAAGATAATAGATAATAAGAAAGTAATGAATTGTGGGGACAATTCAAGTGCAAAGAAAATGAAAATTTTAGAACAAGTTTACTAGTGATAATTGATGTACATTACAAACATTTAATGTGTAAAATTTGGTGTATTTTGACATATATATATATATGTCATATATATATATATATACCTGGAATCAATACCATAACCAAGGTAAGTATTTTTATTACCCCTAGTTTCCTCCTGCCTCTGTGTAATTCACCCCTCTCTAGGCAATCATGAGCTGCTTAATTTGCATTTTCTGGAATTTATGTAGAGTAGTTTGCATTTTTAAGAATATTGTATGGATGGAATATGCAGTATTCATTGTTTTTAATTTTTGGGGGGATGGGGGCCACCAGGCTTCTTTCACTCAGCAAAGATTGTGAAATCCAGCTGTATTGTTTTGTCTATCAATAAGGGCTTCCTTTTCTATTCCTGAGTAATATTCCACTGTGTGGATACACAATTTGTTTATCTTTTCAGAAAAGATGCAGTATTAACCCAGATTTCCCATGCCTCAAAATTTTAGAGTGGATGGGAGTCACATTAACAGTAATTATACAGATGTATCTGGCTTTTGCCTTTGCTGACTCATAAAGTGATTCCATATTCTTCCCTTCTCTCCATCCCCATCCATTTCTGGTATCTTCAGAGGGTGCCTTCTATGACCTCATTCTGGTTTCACTTCTGTCAAATGTCTTCCTCAATTCTATCAGACATTGATCATCTTCCCTACACAGGGCAGCTGCCCAGCAGAGCAGAGGCCCTGGAGATCTAAAGGTGCCCAGGCTGAGTGAAATCCCTCTGTAAATGGGAAAGGAATAGAGTCTGCTTGATGGATTCTAAAACTAAGCTGCCTACAGAGCTTTAATAAAAAGCTTCTTCAGTGGTCCCCCACCTCCAGATTGTGTATATTAAATCTGAAACCATACTTTTAAGTTTACAAGAAATTCAAGGTGATGTTCCTGTTTAATATTCTGCAGATGAAATCAGTGTCTAATTGAGCTCACATTTCACCTAGTGGCAGAAACCTAAACTTAGTTAATTCTGTGCATTTACAGTTAATGTAATTAACTGTTTGGCTCACCTCCTCCTCCCTTTTTTAAACTTAGAATTTACATCTAATTTCCACATGGTATATGTGTGCATGGCAGTAACACTTTTGAGAAGGGGGAGTCTAGTCTTTGCTTTGCCAGCTATGCTGACACCCACTGCCATTTCCCCCTGGGATGCCTGCCATCAGCCCAGGCAGCTCCTTCAGGACGGCCGTGATCAGTCCCATGTCTTGTGCCATGGAACACATTATTTTTCTCTTTTCTCGCTTCTGAGGCTCACTGTCTCAGTAGGTTTACGTTTCCATCCCAACTGAGATGTGTCAACGAAATATTTTTCAATTCCTATTTCCAAGCTTCTGTGGGGGATATGAATAGATTTCTGGCAGAGTGCTCTCAAATCCCCAAATGTCTGCAAGGACCATTCTCTCCAGGGACAGAGTCTGAGGAATGGGTTGTCCAAGGCTCAGGAATTCTAACTGGAGTGTTGGCATTACTCTTCTGAGGAAGGCTTTGTGACTATGTCCTTCTTCTCTTATCACCAGTGCTAAGAAGTAGTTTCTTGCTTCTAACAGGCTTGTGATACCACTTCCCTGGTGGTCATGTACACTCAATACATGCAGCTCCATTACTGAGGTCCTCAAAATAGCATCAGAAACCTGTTCTCAAAGTAAAACAAGCATAGTTGAATTCACTGCAGTTGGGGAGAACTCCATCTTGGTTGGACTTCAGAAGCAACTCATGAGGGGAATCAGAAGTAGGATATTTATGGCACTTTGAGGTTTGGGTTGGCATAGCCCATAGTGGGTCTTTTGAGGTGGGTAGCTGACTAGAACTGGGAAAA